ATCAGCAGCAGCACGACAATAATTCCACTAACAAGTCCGATGATGAACGGAACGATAAATGAACTTCTTTCACATCCAAAAGCTGAAACTAGAAAATGTCAGATTTTGGATCTGAAATCTTAATATAACGAAACAAAAACTGATGTTTACATTGAGATTTTCTGTTTCCTGTCAGAAACTGTCAGCATGACTCTGCTCTGTGGTTTGATGTTGTGACTCCTGTTCTACACTACTTGCAGTGTTACTTGTAGAATTGTTACAGAACTAATTGTGAATTTATGTTGATTTGGAGATTTGCTGAAAATGATTGTTTCACATTCATAATCCCACCTAGTCTCCCCTCCTTGGATCACATTCCTGACACTGATTCTCTAGACTCCACATTTTACATGACTATTCATGTTCAACCATTTCCAATAAGAACATTTTTACAATGCCAAAGAGGTTACCATGAGATATAATGCTGTTTGGCCTTCATAGTAATCCTCAATCATCAATCTATTCAACATTGTTGCTGAATCCAAACTCACCAGTTGTGTTAATGTGAACTTCTTGGCTGTCCTCTGTGTAGTAACCTGGGTTTCCTCTTCCTCCTCTGCACCTGTAGAGTCCTTCCTGTGAGACACTGATTTGTCCATTTGAGTGGAAAACTGCATCTTGTGTGGTCAGGGCTTCAGAGGATTTCTCATCTCTGTACCAGTAGTATTTCCATCCAGATGATGATGATGGGTTCACAGAGCAGGTCAGGGTCACACTGCCCCCTACTGGAACAGCTGTGTTATCAGCTCTCAGTTTGGCCTTTGGTTTATCTGCAGTTCAGTTTAGAAAAAGAACAAAAGTCAATGACTGAATCGTGTATATGCGGATGTTCACTGTTCATAGACACAAACTACATCTTCCTTGGCTGCTACCTCAAAGCACATTGTGCGCTGTCAGTCCTGCCTCCTGCGTGCTGCACAACAACATCCAATATTTAGCATTTACTTCTATTTACACTTGGATCAATGCAATCGTGTTGTGTTTATTATGTTGATCTTTTTTTCTTTTCTTTTTTTGCTTGTTTTCTCTGTTTTTCTCTCAACAGGTGATCTGGGAGATTTTTCACTGTCTCTCTTCCCCTCTGCTTTTGTTTTCCTTCATCTTTCTTTCTCCCTTTCCTATCCCCCAGCCATGTCTGTCCCATCTGTAACAACCAAAAGTAAAATAAAATAAAATAATAACAACAAATGGACCAATACGGCAAGACCTCGATGATCCATTTGGTAAAGTAAATCTGTTGGGTATCTGTGTTGGCCTTCAGGCATCAATTCTGACGGCTAAAGAAATGGGACAGGCAAAAAAAAAGTAAATGAATGAATCAAAACCTTTTAAATAACTAGATGTAAATGGTGAACATCACCAAATCTTGGTGATCTTGAAGAGATACTAACTGTACAATCGTTTTGATCGGAGCTGTGAAAGTTTTATATTTTCTTTGCTGTATTTAAAAAGTACTTGAAGATTGATTAATAAGCTGGTCCCTCTTTAGGACCTGGGAGTTTAAAGGGATCAATCTCAATCAGCCTCCTGCTAAAGGTGAGTGGCAGTGACTCAGAGTTGTGAGAATGTTGATCATAGAAACAGTAACATTATTTTTGGTGGTGTGTCTGTGTTTGTTTATTTATTTTAAAAGATGGCAGTATTTGATCAGATGGTAGTTCAGAATTACATTTATTATTTGTTTTTATGGAAATTGTACATCAATTGTTATTTGTTTTAATATATTCTCCAAAAGCTGATTCTGTTCATCTGGACGTATCTTTTTATGGGAGAAACGTTTACACCTACAGGCCAGTGGACACTCTTTCAAGGATGAGGATGTACACATCCTGGACAGGGAAGAACGCTGGTTTGAGCGCGGAGTCAAGGACGCCATTTACGTGAAAAGGGAAAGACCATCTCTGAATCGAGGAGCGGGCCTAAGGGTACATCTTTCACCATCTTACAATGCTGTGATTGCAGCCATTCCCCAACTCTCTGTGAATGGTACTCGTGGTTTTTGATCAATGGGTTTTGGCCAGTGGTTGTTGATCAATGGTCCTGAGAATTTGCATAATTCTGATTAAGGAACTGACCTCCCAGCCCATTGTTCCTTCAGTGGGCGGGTTTCAGTCATTCTGCAAACATACTGTTTATAAGATTGAGGAAACCTGCAGTCAGCTGAGACTGAAGAAGTCACTTGGATGAGTGACAAAACGTTTCTCCCACAAAACGCTACATCCAGATGAACAGAATCAACTTTTGGAGATTTACTTCCCTGGATGATTGAGAATGCATCAAGACGTTTGAATATGTTATTTATTTATCCTGTTTATATCATTCTTGTCCTCAGGTGGTGGAGCAGCAGGTCAGCATTGGCGTCTCTATACCAGCTGAAAGTTCATGACACAAAGTGGTGACAAACTGTCTACAATGAGGCTACTATCAGCTGCAGCTCTTTGTCTGACTAACAATGTAACATGCTTTGTAGACCATTGAATTCATCCTGTGCTGACCATTATGACATTTGTCAAATGGAGATCACACAACAAACATGACTTACTTGATGCTGACAATGTGAAGGCTTCACTCCACTCTGTTGAAGAATATGAGTCATCTCTGCGTCGACTCTTACACATGTAGTCTCCACTGCTGGACTCAGAAACTCTGAATGTCACATCATTATTGTGTGTCCACTGTGTGGGTGTGCTGGGTCCTCTCCATTCATACTCCCACTCGGTGGTTTCACCTCCTTCCTGCACCTCACATGTCAGAGTGATCGTCTCACCTCTGAATATCTGAGGCCAGTTGGGTTGTTGTTTTACAACAACTTTATTGGAAACTGTTCACACATATTAACAGTTGAGATACAAACAGAAACATGAAATCAACACAGAAAACTTCACATTGTATGTTTGATGATCATGACTGAATGTATATTTCAAACTAAATTACTGAACTCACAGGTTATCTCAATGGTGACATCATAACTCCTATCAGTGTAGTAAACTGGGTTTCCTCTTGTTCCTCTGCAGCTGTAGATTCCTCCTTGAGATACTCTGATATCTCTGTTTTGTTGACCTCTGATTTTACCTTCAGAGGTTCTTTGGGTTCGTCTGAACCACTCATATTTCCATCCATCAGAGCTCTGCACAGAGCAGGTCAGTGTCACACTGCCCCCTACTGGTATGATTGTTGTTCCTGCTGTCAGTGTGGCCCTGGGTTTATCTGCAGATATGAAAAAGGAGGAAAAATATATAAACATGCACACGATTCATTAAAAATGAATAAAAACAATCAATCATACCTACACAGATCTGAAGCTTTTCAGTCAGTGACTCTGAGTAAATGGATACGCTCTAATGATATTATTATATTTAGCCACTTAGAAGCAATGCTGTAAAGAAGACTAGATCAAAATTTCTCCACAATGATGAGACAGACTGATAAAAAAAAAAAAGATTACTTCAAGTCGTTGCTGTTAAAGGAGGTTTTACAAGCTACTGAATCATGAGGTGTGCTTAGTTTTTTCAGGACTGTAGAGACTCATGTGAAAGCTTTCTTTGCAACTTTGCATGTGATACAGTAGATGGAATGCAAAAGATTTGTTTTCCATCCACCCGAGTCTTCCTGAGAGCAAAACTTTGTAATGAGAAAGATTACTGTAGTAATGTGTCTGTAATAATTTGAGGCCATTTTCTGGTCTTTGGTTCAGCTTCTATGACCTGAATAAAGGTGCAGCATCTGGTGCGCATGAGGCCAAACATCTTTCCTGAAAATCTGCACAAACCTCAAACCAAAATACACAAAAAGAACTGGTGACAATTACACAAGCATAGCCCCTGATAATTACAGTTTTTCATTTTAAATCCAAGCTTTGAATTCCACGCTATTTCCCAGAATGCAACACTGCTCTATTTTTAAAAAGATATGTTTAGTTCCAGTGGAAACATAAAGCCTTAATGCAGGGATAAACGAACATTTAAACAGCTTCCTAAGAAAGTCAAAACTGGACGGACAAAAGTTTTTCTATAGTAAAGAAACTTTTTTGTACAATTTTTAAACAGTAATCTGTATCCACATGTAAAACATGCATTGAAATATATTTATTTATATTTCACAGAGAATCCATTGTCTGTTATTTGGTTTTGTCATTATTTTTTATACCCAAGTCATACATGTGTATCTAGTTATTTTGTGTATTTATTTTTAATATTTGAAAGCTTTTATTTTTTATAACCTTTGACTACACTTCCTGTAGTTTTGAAGGAGGCCCTGCTGAGGAGAGATGAGATTATGCTAATGATCCTGTTACAGAGGTTAAGCACAGTAAAAGTGCTAAAATGGTTCAAATCTTGCTTGATGTATTCAAAGACACTGTTTCTTTTAAAGCTGTGCATGTAGAAGCCCAATCACATGAAGTTGCTGAACTGAATTGATTTTTATTTAAACAGTGTTGGAGAATAAACTCAGCAGGCAAAGCAACAGCTGACTCATCTCCTCGTTGACACAACACAGTTTGCAGCAACAGTGTGAGGCCAGACCAGCTACACACAGTGAAATGAAATGGCTTCTTTCTTTGGCCTTGATCCCCCAAATTTCATAAACTGTGTCCTGGTGGTTTTAATGTAATTGCACTGAAAGACAAACAAACTGAAGAACTGCTGGTATCACTGCTGTGATTGTGCTTTCTGCTCTCAGTGTGAATCTGACTCTGACTGGCACCAAACACAAGGTTATAATCTCACACAGGCGATCTGTCTTAGCTCAAAACTACACAACAGATTTACCTGATTTATTATTTATTTATTAAAACTATCATCTCTTTACATTCCCCTTTAATTGAATCATTGTGAAGTCACAGTGGACTCAGCTGTGTGTCTGTTTGCACAGTGAGTTTCTTGGAGGGTCTGAATTGTTTCTTGATGTCGAGTTTAAAACACAAAAAAGGAAACTTCAGTTTGACTCGTAAACCAACTCACATGAAACTGTCAGTCTGAAGGCATCACTCCATCCTGTTAAGAGATAGTCACTGCTACCCCGACATCTGTAGTCTCCACTGTGGGACACTGAAACTCTGCTGATCCTGTATTCACTGGATGTTGGAGGGCTGTTTGTGTTGGGTGCTGTCCATTCATATTTCCACACCTTTCCTTCACCTCCCTGAATCTCACATCTGAGAGTGATTGTCTCACCAGTGAATATCTGAGACCAGCTGTGCTGCAGTTTCACAGCAGCCAAAACTGTTCAACAAACAAACAAAAACACACATTTAAAAACAACTCCAACAGAGACCAAAAACAAAAGAAACCATAAATATAAAGTTGTTTTATTTTTTTTCTAATTTAATTGTGAATGGGTTTTTTTTTTTTCAGAGCAAAAGTAAACCCTCACCTTGTTTGTAAATTGTAAATGGAGTGCTGTCCTCTGTGTAGTAAACTGGATCTCCTCTCCCTCCTCTGCAGTGGTACAGACCTCCTTGTGAGACACTAATAACTCTGTTGGCTTCATTTCCTCTCATGAGCTGAGCTTTAGAAGAGACTGAATCACGTCTGAACCAGTCAAACTTCCAGCCAGCAGAGCCCTCCACAGAGCAGCTCAGTGTCACACTGCCCCCTGCTGGTATGACTGAACTTTGTGCTGTCAGTGTGGCTCTGGGTTTACTTGCTATGGAGTTTGCAGACAAAGAAAGAAGGAAACAAAGTAAACACTAAATCATCATGGAGAAAAATTTCTTACAGTACTAATCACACATTAAACATTCACAGAGTAATTTATCTACAAAAACAACCAATAATTCGTTTCCCTGCATGTGACACATTAGACTGTTTAACTAAAGATTTCAGTGATTTCAGTGAGAAAAACTGTTGTCCTGAGCTGCCTGCAGACAGCTGGATCATTGTTGGAGTTTTCCTGTTAAGACAGATGTAAACATGAAAACATTAAATGTCAGCATGAATCATGGTCCAACTCACATGAAACTGTCAGTCTGAAGGCATCACTCCATCCTGTTAAGAGATAGTCACTGCTACCCCGACATCTGTAGTCTCCACTGTGGGACACTGAAACTCTGCTGATCCTGTATTCACTGGATGTTGGAGGGCTGTTTGTGTTGGGTGCTGTCCATTCATATTTCCACACCTTTCCTTCACCTCCCTGAATCTCACATCTGAGAGTGATTGTCTCACCAGTGAATATCTGAGACCAGCTGTGCTGCACAGTCACTGTGATCCTGTTACGAACTAACAAACACAAACATCACTGTTTCCAGCAGCAGCCTTTTGTCATACTTGTTTGAATGATTTGTTGTGCATTAATCTTTCAAAATAACCCAAATATCAATGTTCGGATTAACTGTGTAATTGTACAGACACACTTAATAGGTTAACCTGTTAACTACTTTAACATTTTGTTAAGCTGTATTTCTGTGTTGGTTCCTCTGCAAGCTGAAATTTCAAAACTTATGGCTTCAATATAATGTATTATATATTATTATAATTTAAAAACAGGTGCAGTGATCTAGGATGAATATGCTATTTTTATGTTTCATTGTATTTTTTCTGTTCAGATCAATACATTTATATATTGCTATTTCACTGATTACCCTGCATGCTATGTGATTTAATGTTTTTCAGTAACTAAAGGTGTATAAATACTCCATGCAGGTCTTCTAAACATTTAAAAAAATCTGTAAAAACATACTGAACAAGAAGAAAAAGACAGAAAACTCAACGCCTCCATCTGTGCCTGTACAGCCACCGTTTAAAATGGATCTCTTCAAGACTTTGTTGTTTTATTTCAAATGAAATGTTTACACTCACCAGTTTCCCGAACCGTGACTGAGTCACTTTCTGTTATGGTGACAGTTTTCCCTTCAGCTCTACAGGTGTAATTTCCTCCTTTAAAAACAGAGATTGCTCTGCCTGACTCATCAGTTATTATGGACTTTTCTTCAGATGACGTTTGTCTGAACCACTCATATTTTAAGTCAGTAGATTCCTTCACATCACAGGTCAGTGTCACACTGCCCCCTGCTGGTATGATTGCTGTCAGAGTGGCCTTCTCTCTAAATTCTGTAAGTTAGAAATACAAAAAAAAAAAGAAAATTACAGTCTCTTTGATATGAAATGTGAATAATGTTAAATCACTTTTTCAGTGTCAGTGATGGTCTGGGCGTCATATCCATGGAGGGAAACACAGAATTCTACAGGCTAGGAAACTCCACCCTGACTTCCATAAGGTACTGCTTGGACCCGCTGTCAGACCCTGTGCTAGTGCAGGTGGTCCTGGGTTTCGCCTGGTGCACGACAATGCTCAGCCTCCTGTGATGAGACTATACAGGCATATCCTGGAGGATGACTTAAATTCAACTGAACACCTCTGGGGTATTATGTTTCTGTCTATCGGGCACTAAATTATATGATATTTGCACATTTGCCAAGTGTATTTTTCGATTCAAAACTGAGACATTTTTGTTAAATTTGTTTGTATTTATTCTGTTCTTGTTCTACTGAAATAGCACATTCAACATATTTAAACTATTTTCATCACATAGTATTAATAGTTTTCAGTCATGTTACCGGCTCACTACCCTCGTGGGCAGAACATGATGTCCAATAGTGGACAGTCAGTAATGCTGGTGGGAAAAAGTAGTCAAGACTATTTGGATCATCTATCCACAGAAGAAACATGAAGATATGAAGAGAATTTCTGGGTCTTGTGATTCATATTCTGGCAGCTTTATTTAAATCCCTGGAAATGTTTAAGTCTTTGCCAGAGAATTGTATTCATCCTTGCAATTCACAGATTCCAAGAGTATTTACTTCTATTATTGTCTGTGTATTTTTTTTTTTTTATAAATACACCTTTGAGTCCTTCAGTTAATACAACAAAAGTACATTGTGATAGTCCGTACCCCAATACATTAAACAGGTGAGGCAATATATCTGTTCTAGTTTTGACATGAGTGGTACTGGTTTACCAATTCAGTTTGTAAAAATTATTAAATAAATGCACAGAAATAAATCGTATGTCAGAGTGTATCAGTAAATCACACTCTGGCTCTCACCTGGTAGTTTTAAAACTGAAATTTATTACATTTAATTTCAAATGTATCGTATAAAATAAAATAAATAAAAAGCTCCCTCAACCTCATCCTCCAGTAATTCCCTCTTCCATTTTTCACTTTCTGTTATGTTCCAGTACAGGTGGAGCTTCACGTATGCTGGGAGCACTGTAGCTCCAGCCTTAAACACTGAGACACCTAAATCTCCATACTGGCACATCAAATGCTCAGTTAAATCTTATTCACTCTGATTCTTACTGAGCCACATCTCTGTCATATATATTGACCACTTGGCCACACTCAGCTTGCTCACTTCTCCCTTCTACTTCCTGTTTGTAACCCCAAATTTATTCTGACTCAACCTCTTCCTGGTTTTGCTGAAGAAACCAGAAAGATACAGAGAGCCAGGGGCTTTCTCTCCATGGATAACCAGCCCTCCACATTTATCACAGTAACCTGCTTGGTATCTATAGAAGTATACTACTTAATAATTTAGGTTCTAAGTTCAATACTGTTAATATAAAAAAGAGCAACAAAAGAAAAAAACACACCTTACCTTCAGCATTTCCATACAAGATTTTACTGAGCACTAAAATAAAGATTGAAACATCATCAAAGTGACAGAAAATCATCTCATTATGAACTAAAACATTTATAAAAAGGTGAATTTTCAGATGACACATTCCTGCTCATTCTCTAATTGCTGTGCTTGTAGACTTTAAACTGCTAGTGTAAAACAACAGATTGTAGCACTAATCAAATTCTCAAACTTGTTCTCCTGCTCAAAAAAAAGAAAAACTGTTTCTTTATTCAGTGCCATATAAATAGAAAAGTAATCAGTAATGTACTTACAGAATAGCCCCAGTACACAGAGCAAAGAGCGCCTCATCCTCACATCCAGCTCTGCTGCACTCTGATCCACAGCTAAGCTTTAAGTGTTTCGGTTTTCAAAAATAATTAAGCAGAAGAAAGAGCTGCTGTACTAAATATAGATAAGACTGTAACTTCTTCTTCTCAGTGGCCTCCATGCTTCCTTCCCATTAAAACTGAGCTCAAACATCTGCTGTAACTTCGACCGCAGCAGTGTTTGTGTTTCCTGTCCATTCAGAACATACATGTTTGTTCCTTATGTTGTTCCCTTTCTATTTTCTATTAAAAATGTTCTGTTACAATTTTTAAAGTCAGACAGCATTTTCACTCAGCTTATAGTTTTACTCCTTTCTTTTTTAACCAAACTGCTGTGGTCCATTGGATTGTTATCATAGCAGAATATTTGTCAGGTTTTTGGACACTGTCAGCGGCTGGATGTCAGCATATTTGAATCTGACAGTCCTGAGAGGGTTCATGCAAAACACGATGGACTCTAGCTAAAGTGAACACACTTGGTTTGGTCTTATCTGACTAAAGAATGCTCCCATTACGCTGCAGAAAAAGATTTTGACTTTTTATCAGTTCTCACAGTGTGGTATTTTTTCCCATTACAGGTAGATCATATAAAATGTGCAGTCCACACAGAGAGCAAGTGCAATGCTACAGGGGCACACCTGTAAATTTATATCCCTTTAACTATAAGAAAACTACTTAAACGGAAATTTATATTTGAATTATGTCCATTGAATGGGCTGATTACATCTGTAGAGGGTGAAATAGATGAAGAATAAAAAACAATGTTTGTGTGGAAAACTACACCAATCAAAATGATCCAATTCTTTTCCAATATGCAACATAGTGTGTGTGTGGTTTCCATTTCACAAAGACTTTAACTTGTAGACTCATATACTGCACACACTTACACTGTACACATTTAAACTTAAAACCAGATGACCAACACATGTTCTTTGTTTACGGTTTTATTATAGTTTTCAGATATTTTTAACTGAATAATAATAATTTAGTGAATTGCTGCAGAAGCTCAAAAAAGTCACATATCAGGACTTATTGAAATCCATCTTTATATGATGTTGAGGGCAGAGAGAAAGAGACAGAGTGTTTTTTTTTTATTAATGTGAACAATTACAGCAGAGACTCTTACAGGCAGCTGCTTTTCAGCATGAGAAACAAGCTTTTCACAGTTTCTCTTTATGCCCACAGATTTAATGGCCACAGTGACTTTATTCGAAAACTGTTTTCACATAGTGTCATGCAATGTAGCAGTGACAATTATTACTATCACTCCAGTATGGACAGGTCATATAAACACGTGTGATGCACACAGAGAGCGAAAAGTGAAATTTCCACTGTGCTCTTTGTCTGAATTCCTTGTTAACTCTCTGCTGTGAGCTGATAACATAAAACAAGACATCTGCTAGAGTCAGATACTAAAGATCACATATTTCACACTTTGTTCTCACTGCTGTTGGAACATGTTAGATACAGTCAAGGTTTATTACAAAATGTTTATAAAAAATATATGAATATAAAACACATGAATATTAAATAGGAATACATCTGCATTTGTTTTATACTATAAGAGAGTACTATGTCTATATCAGGGGTCGGCAACCTTTCTGATGACGAGTGCCATCTAAAATTTCCTCAGAAGTCAATGTGCCATATGACTGCATTAGCAATAAATTTAACAACGCTCTATATTAACAGTTACACACAGAACCACTTTATAGAACTATATTTGTTTGCAGATGTTGGCAGCTATCAGTGAATAGTTATCAGCTATTTTCAAACAACAAAAAGCCACTTTTTTATCCATAACAGCAAATGAACTGTACAACAGAAAATGCAAATGCTATTTATGGTCTCCTCACAACAATGATAAGAAAAATAAAATGGGCCAATATGGCACGTTTGTTAATACAGAGATACACATGTTAATGTTATTAATTCACTGCGTGTCGTGCCCAGGGCTGGATTGGGACAAAAAATCGTCCCGGGCATTTTTACTAGAGACCAGCCCACCAGGTATTAAAGCCATAAAGCCTGAATGAAAGCAAACACTGTTGTGACAGTGACGTACAGTCTTGTTGGTATATGTATGATTTCTATACATTTTACATCAGATAAAAACTTTGGTTGTAAGCTTCAGATAATTATTTAATAAAAGCTAGATATTTTAAATGAGAATAAGAAAGTATTTTATTTGTGCCCCCTTCTCCCTGTTAATGCTCTACCTGCCCCCCTGGCAAAACCTTGCTAGACCCGCCCCTGCACAGTTACCAGCTGTCAGCTAAGTAAAAAAAGGATCCTGGTGTTATTTGTCTCTCAGAAACAGTTCTTAACTTCCCTTCAACTCATTCATGTGACCTAAAAGGTAAACCTGTTTCTCCATCACCTGTTCAGCTCTGATGATTCAGTAAGGACATCTCCTGGTTTCATCTTCATGTTTCCCTCTCACCACATATCCAAACCGACATCATGACCAGCAGCTTTACAGCTGTGGCTCCAGCAAACATCAGCTGATACTAGAAATTAATATTAAATAAATTCTAACAACAGCTGATCAAGCTTAAACGTTCTGCTGTTGTTTAGGGCGGCATCCGCTGGTTTCCTCTTTCTGGTGCAAAGTGGGCAATGAACAAGCAAGAGAGAAAAGCCGATCAGCTGATCATTGATCAGTTTCATGATTAAAGTAGCAACAGGAGAGAATAAGAGAAGAAGAGGCAGCTGTGCAGCAAAGACACAGAATAAATCCAGCTTTGTGTCTTTTTCCATTGTAGCTGAAGTCCGGGACAAACTGTGTCCCCTCTCAGCTCAACACGAAACGCCTGATATTTTCTCTGAAAATGGGTCTCTCGAGTTATTTTTACACATTGACCAGCATCTGGCCAATCCACCACCTTTCATTGTTTATACCGTTGCAAAAAAAATAAATAAAAAAAAAATCATCGGCCCATAAAAACGAAAAATCAACATTGGCCCACCGAGCAAATGTCCGATGGCTGGTCCAGCTACGGTCATGCCAACAGTTAACCCTTC